CCTTTGAACTGAACAGCTGTAAACATCTTCCAGTGGCTCTTCTTTGGCCACACTAATAATGTAGTATTATTACTCGGTAGCTAAAACTCGTCCCTGGCCATTAAATTTCTAACTAAGCTTTGATCTCTTTTTATGCAAAATCGGAAGTGGCTCACTGAGCCAGAAGATAGTATTTTTAAATAATTATACATTTACTTCTACTTTATTTCTAATTTCACATATGGTCTAAAATGATGATCCATATTTTTTATACACTTTTTAATTCAGTAAGATTTCTGTAGGACGTAATTATATTTTTGTAACTGGAAGGACAGTATACTGGTATTTTAAAATAATATATTTTACACAAAACAAGCAATGCTTGTATCACTGACTACTCCACAAGAAACTAAAAGATGAAAATATTATAGTAGGGAACTGGTATCCTTATTTTTTTATACTGTAAACTTCGTTAAAGAAGTGGGTCTGTAGTTCAAATCTGTACGGATGCATAAGTATTATTACTTTATACTGGGGTAATACGTGTTTTGTTGTACATAGAAGGACTAACATAAACTATGTATTTATAGTCAGAATTGATCTCTACGACGTGCCTGTTTTGGAAGGATATAAGCATACGCTGACATACGCAATGCTGGAAGGAAGTGACTACCGTATAATTGCAATCTTGTAAAATGTGGTATTCTAAGGAGAAATTATGTTTTTCTGTATACGTACAGGATTCTGTAGAGTAAGACAATAAAACCAGCTGAGTATCAGTGAGGAATTTCTGCTGCTGTACATTTCTGCAAAATATGTTAATCCAAAAATTGGCAATACCAGCCTACATAAGGTAAAGAATAATAAAATAAATGTTTACAAGGGAAGTAAGTGGTCAGACTGTTTTTCTTCACTAGAAGTGGATGGTTTAGAACATTTTTATTTGTAAATATTTTCTACCCATTCAACAGAAGTTGGATTAAGTTCTCACCTTGTTGGTATAATTTTTTTTCATTTGCTATGCTATGTATGTACAGGAAATTGGGTGGCTTGATTTAATGTAAGCAAGTAAAAACTGCTTTTGGTCATAAAACAGTTGTGGAAGACTGCAGCCTATTGAGGATCTCTGAACTAATATTTACACTGAATAACGGTATTCTGTAAAACAGTCAACTATGTGAAAACATAGGGAGAAATACCCTTTGAACAGCGATCAGCTCCATTCAGTTTAGCAGAGCCAGATTTTGACACCTTCGCTCTTCCAAGCTTTTTCTTTGGCAAAATTATATTCTAGAAATGTTCATAATCTAGAGGATTTTCATATTTAAAATTATTTGTTTGAAATAAATTCTGCATTCAAATGAAAGAATGTATTGTGCTGTGTTTATTTTTCGCTTACTGTGAATGCCAGACAGTTTATTTAAAAAAAAAATAAAAAATCCAGCATCTTAGTATTGTTGCCAGGGTGCTGAGGGCAAACATTGCCATAGATTTGAAATGGGGCACCCGGCCTTGGTCCATCAGGCAGCTGTAGGCAGTGGTCATGCCGGCCGCGTGGCTCAGGTCCGCCTTGTGCAGAGGAAGGATGTGCCGCCTTAGCGATGCGCATACTGCTGCCTTCTCCTTTCCTGCCAGCCGGTGAGTCTGTAGTACACAAATAGTTTTCCATCAGCATAGTGTCTTTACAGTAGACGTGTTAACCCCTTAGTGAGCCATATGCCTACAACTTGCCTTGAGGAGCTGATACTCCATGTAGGGGCCAAGGGTAGTATTTGATGAGTAGTTTTACAAGGTGATGAGTTCCACGTGAAAATCACTTTGGCTGGAATTAGGCCTGAGTGGAGCCTGGCTGCCACGTGCAGTGTGACGGTGTGTGAGACTCACCGCTGTCTTTCAACCTTAATTACTACAGCCAGTATATGTGGTACCCGAGTTCAGTGACACAGTCCCTCAGCCTGCTTTCAGAAGGAAACATGGTTTATGAGCTAAGGTGGCGTTTTTGTCTAGATCTCTGTCCACCCATTATGTCACTTGTGTCCCCAGATGACCTTTGACCTTTCCAACATCTCAATGACATTCGAAAGAAGGGACAGAAATCTCATGGTTTCATCACAGGGTAGCTCAGGCTGGGAGGGACCTCAGGAGGTCTCTGCTCCAACCTCCTGCTCACAGCAGGTTGGCTCTGAGGTTGGGCCAGGCTGCTCAAGGCCTCATCCAGTTGGGGCTTGAAAAATCTCTGAGGATGGAGACTGGACAGCCTCTCTGGGCAACCTGTGCCTCTGCCTGACTGTCCTCATGGGGGAAACGTGTTACAGGCTGAGCCTCTCTTCTTTCAAATTACGCCAGTTGTCTCTCGTCCTTCTGCCCTGCACCATCTCCTCAATGATCTCCCCAGGGGCACTGGGGGGTTCTTTAAGGTCTATCCCCTCTCCAAAGCCATCTCTGCTCCAGGCTGAACAAGCCCAGCTCCCCCAGCCTCTCCCCACAGGGCCAGTGCTCCAGCCCCACAATCTCTCAGTGGCATCCCCTGAATTTGATCCAGTTTATTGATGTCTTGTATTGGGGAGCCCAAAGCTGGATGCAGTATCTAGATGTGGTGTAACAAGTACTGAGTGGAGGGGCATAACGACTCCCCTCGACCTCTGGCTCTGCCCCTGTTCATACAGCCCTGGCTGCCATTGGCCGTCATTGCTGCCGGGACTCGCTGGTGGCCCATGTCCCACTCACTGCCCATCAGGACCCCCAGGGCTGTTCCCTCAGAGCTGCTCCCAGCAGCCGGTCCCAGCCCGTACCAGTGCAGGGGTGGCTCCTACCCAGGGATGGGGCCCCAGGGGCACCAACAGGTCCTGACACGCTCCCCCTCCCCAGGGCTCCCCCTACCCTGCCCATGACCCAGGACACCATTTCAGCCCAGCCTGGAGCCATCGGTCCCTGCCCCAGCGATGCTGTAGGACATTGGTCTCCATCTCCCCACAGCCCTGCCTGCCCAGCCATGGGCCCCGCCGAGCCCAGCCCCACCTGCAGGCTGACGTCCCCAGAGCCCTGCAGCCATCCCAGAGCTGTATCTGACCCCAGTTCCCTTCACAGGGCCTGATCCTGATCTGCAGCTTACATCCCTGCCTGACCTCAGCCCTGCCCTGTCCCCACAAGCCTGCTGGGTGATGTGGCCTCTCGGGTGCCCCAGATGCTGTTTGCCAGGAGTGGGGTGGGCCCTGGTGAAGCCCTGCTGCCAGCCATGGTGCTGTGCTCCTCAACCCCGCTCCCCAAGGAGCAGCCTGCCCTCGCTGCTCTCTGGCACCCAAGTGCAGGACTTTTCGTTGAATTTCATGGCCCATTCCTCCAGCCTGTCCAGGTCCCTCAGGATGGCAGCCCTGCCCTCAAGCATACCGACCAGCCCCCTGTTTGGCATCATCTGCAAATCCAATGATGGAGCTCTCCATCGCCTCATCTCAGGCCAGGTCCCTGCGGTGCTCCCCTTGTTACCAGCTGCCAGGTAGAGACGACCCATTAACCAGCCCCCTCTAAGCCCAACCAACCATCCTTGATGGTTTTTACCCATCTGGTTGTTCCCCACCCAGACCATAACATCCGAACTTGGATACAAGAGCGCTGTGGGAGACAGTCATGTCTTTGCTAAATTCAAGGTAAATGACATTCCCTGCTCTCCCCTCATCGGCAGAGCCAGTTTATCGCCAAAGGCGATTGGGTCGGCCAGGCATGGTTGGCCCTTGGTCAAGCCACACTGACTGCTGCCAGTCACCCTCTTCTCCAAATGTGCTCCCAGCTGGTGCAGAGGGAGAGGAAAGCTGCCCTCGCTGATCCCTGCACCGAGAGCAGCAGCCAGGGATGTACTACCTGGCCAAGAAGCACATGCGTAACCCAGATTAACACTATACATGTTTTCTCTTGCCTGTTGGGAGTATCACACACGGTATGTCGGTGGAGATCTGTGGTTATCTGAGGTGAGGGAGTTGAGGAGACTAAAGACAGAAGCAAGGAGGAAACCAGACTTGATAATTCCACTTTCAAGGAACCTGTTTTTCATGGTCTGTATGCAGAGAGACTTGAAGTTCATGTTATTCAAAACCACACAGCATTCATTTGTGCTCTCATTGTTTTGCATGTGAAAATCCAGGCTTGCACGGAAGCTTGATTTAATTCTCCTACAGCCTTGTAAGCCCCCCCATCTACCGACACCCTGAAATATTTCCTAGTAGCGGCAAATGCTTCTGATAAAAATGATACAACCACCTTAGGAGACAAATCATTGAAGGTTTTCCCTGTTTACTTGTATTCCATCATTTTAAATCCATGAAATTACTTTGTGGTTACATTTCCTAGAGCATAGTACCATGCTCCCTCTTTCCCCATCACCAAGCATTACCGTGCTGATGAGGGGCACCTGCAGGATCTCACCCGCAGGCCCCAAGAGCACTCTTCAGCTCTTCAAGGAGCCATGCTGGGAGGGGGTGCTGGGCTGAGAGGCGTGAGCTCGGCCTCCTCCCTGGGAGGGGAAGGTGAGCCCAGCGGCAGGGAACAACGTGCCAGGACATCCCAACAGGGTCCCTGCTCTGTCCTTCACTTTAAATACAGTCACTGTGGGAAATCCTAGAAACAGCGAGGAGGAACTTTAAATAATGTATTTTTTTTTCTTTTACAGCAATCTCTGTCTGTACGTAAGCTGATACAGGCAGTAACAATTAATAAGCTTTAGAGAAATACGATTTTTTCCTCTTTAAATTCCAGACCAGCTGTTCAGGTGCCGGCTGAATTGTATCCTAGAACAGAGGTAACGTGTTCTTTGGGGCGGGACACACACACATCTGCTCTTCAGTTTGGCCTGCACAGCGCCCATAGGCAAGGGAAGGAGACCCTCTTAGGACACCGGAGGCAGCAGCCTGCCCGCAGACAAGTGGGTCTGAGGCTCACTCCTCACTCTCACACCACCTTCACTGTATTTTCCCCGACCCTGCGGAAGCGCACAGACTCGGAACCGGGCACTGCGCTCGGCGCCCGGAGATCGCTGCCCCCTCCTCCCTGCCGCCTCCCCCCCCCACGGCCCCAGCCCGGCGGGGAGGCC